GTGCTGGAATCCACTGTGGTACATGGGCAGTGGTTACCTCCTTCCAGCTTCCTGAATCCCTGCATACCTGATTCTCGTTTTATCCTGAACTGTGCCGTGAAACCAGAGCTTTAGTCAGGTTTTCCAAAATTTCTTAGTGTGGAGAAAGAGGGAGGTTATTCTGTTACGTAACACCCCTGTACTTAAATGCTGCTGAAATTGGCTGTAAGACCATGCAAAATTGGAGGAACTCTGTTTTCATAAAAAATAGATTCGACACATTATAGCTGTTAAGCTGTAATAGCTTTAAGCATTTATACATTTACACCTTCCAAAGACCTGAGTGCAGAAATCTTCCAGTGCTAGCAGTTCCCAGCCCAAAAAGTGCTTAGGAAAGAAGTCTGTGATTCCAACTTCTGCTGTGACAATTGTTTCGGAAAAGCTGGGATAGACAGTATTAAATATGAAATAAAAAGCAGCACAGAAGTGCCACATTGTATGAAATGTTCTTACTTAAACTTTCATAGTTGAGCTTTTGTCTGTGCTACATTGTTAGAAAAGTTAGCAGAGGTATTTGGAGTTGAATCTCTTACTTTTGCAGACCTGCCAGTCGACCTCTGTTACATTTTCCTGGGTTTGGGATGTTTTTAACCTCTCCTGCTATCAAATTTCCTCTCATCTTGCCAGTTCTGATTGGAAACCTAAACACCCTGCACTTGGGCAATGAATTAATTTAGTGTTCATCAGGATATAACAATAGCTGTATGTGCTGCTTTGTGTATGTCCTGACTTGGTTCAGCTCCCAGCAGGGTAAAACCATTGACCAGGAAGTATGAACAGGCATGGAACCCACTCTGCCCTTACTTTTATACCACACTTGTGTGAGATTTGCTGAAGGATCATGCTGCAGCCTTCTTCCTTTGGCAACCCCCAGACCTGGCAGGTCAATCACCCTTCAAACGTGCAAGTAAACAGGCAGAACTGTGTCCAATAAATTAATGGAAAACTCATTTTATTTTAAACTTCATAAAAGCCATAATTATAAATATAACAAACTTAAATGAACAGACATTGCTATGGAATACAAGTAAATGAACAAGCTTTCTCCAGTTACTTTTCTGTTAGAGCTCTTTGTGGATTCTGAAGTGTAACATGATGGTAGCTGCCTCCATGGGTATAAAAATAAGCCTCTGATGTATCAAAGTACATGTGATCAATTCAGGTGCCCTGATGTGAGAATGTATAAAGCAAATGTTAACCTAAGAATCCTACTTCTCTTTGGTATTATCAAACAATTTAAATGGCCTTTTTGACGAAGTGATGAAAACCTCTACTGTATGTGCACAAACTTAATTCTAAATAGCTCTTCCAATGCCACAGAGATTGCATGGTCAAGTGCATAATTACAAAATAGTTACAGGAAACTTGCATCAGGAGACTAAGACAGGGCAGATGGGATAGAAGCTGTTGACACCATTTATCCATGGTACTACCTCTCACTGAGTCTTTGAGAACTGAGGGATTGGATTAGCCAAGGGCTAACCTCTGTCTTTGTATCAAAACCAACCAGGGGAGGTGTGTGTATGGGGGGTGTCGCACCCTGAGCTATAAACAGCAGCACTATGGGGTCTTGTCTGGGGCTTTAAAGTAGGATTTGAAAAAAAAAAAATACACAGAAAAAGCTTTGCAGTGCATAAATAAGGAGAATGACAGAACTTCTGCAGAGGCTATCTACAGTTACCCTTCTGCACTGCTGACAGAGAACTAAAAATCACTTCTTTGTAGTAGTCTTCCCTTAATGAATCAGAGTAAATCCCCTTAGAGCAACTGCCTTCCATTTCATCAGTCATCCTCCTCACCTGCAGCTCTGGCAGTAGTTCAGAACTCTACCCTCTGCAGCAAACAACTTAGGAGTGCAGGATGCTTGTTAGGGCTTTGTCTTCTAATGTTCAAAAGCTTCAATTGCATGTTTAGAGGCAGAGAAGACTTCAGGGTCAAGAGGTGCATGACTGTCTAACTGGAAGTAAAATAGCATATCCAATGTAACTTTGTTACAGTCTGAGCTGTTGTGCAGCTATTTACATGTTTGCACACACAGGTCTCATTCTTATTTAAAAGTCCTGCTGCATAGCACAGCATCTCCTGTTCTGCCATATGGATCAAAAAAAGCTAAACAATATAGGAGAAAGAAAAGCTTAACTTAGTGGCCTGAGGTTGTATTAAAGTCTAAGGATCAGTTCACTTTCCAGTCATTTTTCCTGATTTATTTGTGGAAAAAATTAAATATGTATTTGACAGAAAATATCAAAGTAAATCATAAATGCTTACATGAACACTTTCTTCCCCTAAGAAAAAAGGACAAGAAAACTTTGTTTTAGAATTAATTTGCCACAGCCAGAACCTACAGACTAGAATGTATAGTAACGTTTTGTAGTTCACCTGAGTGATTTGTCCTGTATGTTCTGTCCTATATGTGAAGGCAAATGCATGGCCATGGCATTCTAGCAGCCTATGCAGGTGCAATATTTGACTAGGATTTGTGTTATAACATTGATACTAGGTTTAACTCCTGTGCATTTATGGAGACAAGCCCAATCCACTGCCTGAACTGGGTGCATAAGAAAAGTTAGCATATCCTGGTGGGGACAGGATCCTATGTCCTTAATGCCTTTAGGAAAGTGAGTACATTCCT